TTTTTCTTATTTATATTTCTTATATTTGTGTTTTTCTTATTAAATTGTTTATCTACAACTTGTATTTAGTTCCTCTTTTTTTGGGGTAAAGTTCTATTTCGTTCTTTTATTTTTATTTTTTTTGTAAAGTTGTATTTAGTTCCTTTTGATAACCATTATCTTTATTGTTTTTATGACTAAGGAACAACAATGATATATATGATGTAAAAAATGAGAGGAAAGCTTAAGAAACAACAAAAGGCAAGAGGGAGAGCAGATATACCAGTGAATTGTAACACCATAGTTAGCATGGTTATCGACGTTGACAAGCATAGTATCACCTTTCTGAACGTCAATGGTCAGGCCAGGCAACTGATCATTTACAACCAACATGCTGCTGGTTACACAAAGTCTTGTGAAATTTTTCTCCCTCAGCTGTGGTGTCAATAAAAGAAAAACAACAGGGATCAGTTAACTAATTAAAGAACCATGTGCAGAGAGAAAGAAGCATATATATGACAAAACAAAAGGAGGCCTATTCTGTTTTCCATTAAGTACTTACATGAAGGTCATGGTAATGCAACTTGCCTTCAGCTAAGCAAAGCATGGTCCAACTTAGAAGGATGACAATAAAATACCAGGAAACTACAGCCATTCTCAAATGATAAAAATTGATGCACTATTTTCATGTACTAAGTTTATTGCATATATAGATAAAACCCCCAGATCCCCGCCCTTTTTCTTTTGAATGGACCTAATGAAGATGGCTACGTCCAACTAACCCAGATAAGGATTTTTTTATAATGTTTTGGCAAGATTGATTTTCGGTTGATCCTAGTGGACAACTAATTTTTAAATATTCACTAAAAATAAAATTTTTGCACTTAGACTCTGTGAAATTAAGAAAAATGTATACTATTTTCTTGAAATGAATATTAAATATATTTTGAGATTAATACATATCAAGTTTGATTTTTTAAACAAATTAAAGTTTTAATCTATATCTAAAAACTGATATCTTAATTCAAAATTTAAAACTTTATATTATTAAATGTTAATATATAAATTTGAAAACTAATTTTATATTTTAATATAATTAATTTTTAAATCTAAATATTAATATTTAATAAGATAAATTTTTAAATTTTAAGTTAAATTTTAATTAAATAAAATAAAATAATTTAAAATTAAAATTTTAATTTATTTTAAGATTCAAAACTATTAGTATTATGTACTTTTTTATATATTTTGTATATTTTTTGAATAATAAAAAATTAAAACTTATCACAACCA